CTTAACCTCCATCCTACCCTCACCCTACCCCTTCTCTACCTCGGCCCCACCTTGGTCCCGGCCCACCCTACCGCCATCCTATCCCAACTCCCTACCCCTACCTTACCCCAACCCCAACCCTACCCACCACCCCCACCCTTAACCGCCGTCCTACCCCCCACCCTACCCCTTCCCTACCTCGGCCCCACCCTGGCCCCGGCCCCACCGTACCGCCATCCTATCCCAACTCCCTACCCTACCCCTAACCACGACCCTAACCCACCCACAACCCCCACCCAACCCCCTACCCCTAGACCTTACCACCCACCCCGACCATACCCTTTACCCCACCTCCACCCATAACTTCCCTACCTCGACCCCTACGAGTAGGTATGGATGGGTATGAAGGGTTGTGGGGGAGTATGGGTAGAGTGTAAGATCATGGTAAGGGTAGGGGTAGGGGTCAAGGGTGTGGAATTGGAGAATTGGGTGAAAAAATTGATGAACATGTTTTCAGATTTGAAAATGGAAAACTAGAAAATAGAAACAGAAAATTGGAGTAACCTGTTTACTAACAAAATGGGAAATAGAAATAGAAAATAGAAATAGAAACTAAAAATTTCAAAATTTATATATTTCATTATTTTAAAATAAAATGTATAAACATATTTATTTACTAACATATACAATACACATGGTATATTCTAGCATCCATAAACAAGTGATACTAATTTGTCACTATTCGACATGATACCCAAAGGTCATGTATTGATGTAAATGATGTTCATTTTGTGAAATGTGCAACTGATAATGGTTTTTTTTAACCCAGAAGGCAAATCACCAAAATCAGTGGGGCAAATGCCGGGGAACATTTGCCGAGCTTTATTAATGAGAAAAAGAACGAATATAAACGGAGAGGGGGATTAGACCAAAACCTCTCCGGAAGGCATACCTTCCACAAAACAAGAGACGAAAGTAAAAGAAATACAGAAAGTCGAAAAAACCATGTGGGGACCAAACCATACCCATAGCTACAACAAAATGACAGAACATAATAATCATAGAATTAGTAACGCCTAATATAAGAAAGTTGCAATTTATCCGCCAAGATGGACCTATGAACCAAAACCGGAAGCTCGATGGGCCGAAAATAGGAAATAACTTCATCCCCATCAGAAAAGTAGCTTGCCATAAAATGGGCAGCCCAATTAGCCTCACGATAAATGTGTCTGAAAGATACCGGGCAGTCAACCGACCACCGCCTTAGATCTGCGAACAACGACTTCCACTTCCCGTTCCAGGTGGTATCATCAAGCAACTCCAAAATCACATGAGAATCGGTTTCAGCCTCAAAGCCCCGAAAACCAAGCTGAAGCGCCCAAAAGATTGAAATATGTAAGGCCAAAAGTTCCGCTTCAGTTGCAGACGAAGCAACAATTGGGAAATGACAACCAGCAACTAAATCACCTGTCTGAGATCTCAACACCGCTCCACCCGTCGCTCTATTCCGGCTAAGTGAAGCATCAACATTTAGCTTAAGATGGAGCACAGGTAATACCCATTTAACAATCTTGATGCGTGCCTTACTAACCTTAAATGATTTAGAGATCAGATGCGCTTCCAACAATACCAGTGGAATGGGTTTACCAGAGATTTTTAACTTGGCCAAGGACCATTTTTGGGCAAATGCTCTAATCTGCAGAATAGTAGAGTCATAGGATATTAGATTGGAGTCCCCATCACCCCAGACCAAAGTGGAGTAAACCTTCCATATATGCCAGGCTATAATACCCGGGAGATTGTGTTTATAGATATCAATCAGGGATTTAGAACCTGCCTCAAGCCACCAAGCCATAAAGACTTGTCTGATAGATACATTACCCATCGGGATAGAAATGTCAAGAACCCCCATATAGTACTTCCATATCCTTTGTGCAAAAGGGCATTGATATAACACATGATCCATAAAATCAGACTCTTTCTTACACAGAGGGCAGATAGATGGAAATAATACAACATTAGACCGGGCGCTATTATCATAAAAAGGAAGAAATCTATGAATTACCTTCCATTGAAAAAGTTGAATTTGACTGTACTGTTTTTTATGCCAGGCATGCTTGAAGGAGAAGGTTTTAGATTTTGCCCATCTAATAGTATGGAAAGCAGAAGAAATGGTGAAACAACCACTCTTCTCAGGTAGCCAAAAACAGTCTCCATTAGGCTGGGCAGTACTAAGAGATAAACCAATGTCATGAATGGTGCAAATTCTTTTAGAGCCCACAAAAAGCATATTAGAGCCCCTGGGATATCTGGAATGACAAAAAGCAGCCCACAAAGAAGTATTGCTTTTCCACTTCCACCAAAGTTTGAGTGAAAAAGCTTTCTCCATGTCAGTTAATGATCGAATACCCAAGCCCCCTTCATCCGTAGGCAGACAAACATCCTTCCATTTTAGCCAATGATATTTTTGCCTATAATTGGACTGACCCCAGAGAAAATGCGCCATTTTCCTTTCCAGAATCTTAATCACAGACCTAGGCAGTTTATCAACAGCAATAATATGTTGAGGAATAGCATTTATAACATGTTTGATCAAAATAAGTCTGCCCCTTGACTTAAATTCCTTTGCTTCCAAGCTGTAAACTTCTTATCAAAAGAATGAATAAGATCATTACAAAAATTAATCCTATTCATTCCTTTGTGCAGTCTGGATCCCAAATATTTGATAGGGAGATAGCTTCTCCATTCTCCTAATTCTACGCATGGAAGTTTTCCCACAGACAAAATTACTTTTATGAAAATTAATAGCTTGACCTGAAGCCCTTTGATAAAGACCAAGAAATCTCTTGAAATTCAAAAGAGATCTAGCATCCCCATTAATAAAAATCAGAATATCATCTGCAAAGCTCAGATGTGTGACAGGATGCCCCTTCTGTCCTATCCAATAAGGTTTAATTTGGGAGCCACTAATGAGAGATTTTAGACCCCTAGACAGTGCTTCAGTAGCCAAGATAAACAGAAATGGGAATAAAGAATCCCCTTGTTTGACACCCCTTAGGGGCTTAAAAAAAACCCTGGGAGCCCCATTGACCAGAACAGAGAAATAAGTAGCATTAAGATGATTAAGCACCAGGCTAGTGAAACTGTTTGAGAAACCAAACTTAAGCAACACACCCCTCAGATAGGTCCAAGATAACCTGTCAAAAGCCTTTGCCATGTCAAGCTTCACCATAACATAACCCCCTAATTTTTTTGTCAATGGAATTGACCATCTCCTGAGCTACTAGAATATGATCATTAATGTCTCTTCCTTGCATAAACCCAGCTTGTTCAATAGAAATTAATTTAGGAAGGATAATGCTCAATCTGGTAGCCAAAATTCTTGTACAAACCTTACTGACAAAGTTTGATAAATTGATAGGTCTAAAGTCAGCAAAAGAGGATGGTTTGTCCTTCTTAGCTATCAAAACAATCAGGGAACTAGCAAAGGCTTTAGGACAGCTCTAACTACATCATTCTGAACAATATCCCAACAAGCCCTAAAGAAAACACCATTGAAACCATCAGGTCCCGCAGCTCCATTTTTATTTAAATCCCAAACAGCCCGTTTAACTTCCTCTGCATTAGGGAACTGCATAAGCATCTGATTATCATTGTCTTCAACTAATGTGGGAATGTATTGGAGCAACTCCTCAACATCAGTAACCGGTTCAGCTGTGAAAATATTGGAGAAGTATTCTTCAGTTGCTTTCCCAATGGATTCAGGATCTGAACAAGGATGACCTGCAGAATCCTTAATGGTAACAATTTGCTGCATTTTCTTCTAAGATTAACAAATGAGTGAAAGAATTGGGTATTGGCATCCCCTTCTTTCAACCATTTGATATGAGATTTCTGCTTCCAAAAAGTTCTTTCCTGTTTGTGTTTAGCAATAAGTAAAGATTGTTTAAATGTTCAATCCTCTCTGTTAGCCAAGGAGGGTTCTTCTTCAAATTTCATCTCAGCAATAAGGACCCCATCTTCCAGTTTTTTAATATCCTCAAAGATGTTACCAAAAACATTTTTGTTCCACACCCTAAGAGCCTGTTTAAGCCCTTTCAACTTATTATATAACCCAAACATTTCCCCTCCTCCATAAGGACTAGAATCCCAAATAGATTTAACAAATTCCAAAAACTTAGGGTGAGAAATCCACATTTTCTGAAATCTAAAAGCCTTAGGCCCTTCCATCACACACCTTCTGCACTGGAAAAGAACAGGATTGTGATCAGATGAGGCCTTATTAAGATGATTAATTTGAATTGAGTCAAAGAAATCCATAAACTGAGAGTTAACCAAAAATCTGTCCAGTCTTCTCCAGACCCTTCCATTAGCCCTTATACCAGACCATGTGAAAGCGCTGTCCTGAAATGGTAGATCAACTAGGTTGCACTCAGCAATACAATCTTTAAAGTCATTAATACTAACAAGATTAGGAGTAGCTAACCCTTTATGTTCACAGTGATTTGCAATGGCATTGAAATCACCACCAACTAACCAAGGGTTATTATTACAGCCAGCCCAATTGGAGAGGAAAGACCAAAGCTCTCTTCTGTCAATATATGTGTGAGATCCATAAGTGGCAGTAAACAAAAAATAGAAGCCTTCAACTGTAACCTTCATGTGAATAAATTGGTTTCCAAAAGATAAGTCAGAAATCTTAATGGATTTAGAATCCCAGAATAACCATATTTTATTGATAGGGCAAAAAAAAATAACTATCCAGTCCCAACTCAACTGAGAATTTTGTAATATCTGATGTATCAACGATAGGTTCAATAACTACAAGCAAATTGATTCTCCACTGTCTAATTAAATCCCGTAGCCTTGAACAGAAAGAGACAAGACCACAAACATTCCAAAGTAGACAATTCATCATAAACATTGAGAGAAGTTTTTAGCGAGCTTCTTTGCAGCAGCTCTAGTAAATCTAGGTGAAACATGGCTAGGTTGAGCAGGTTGCTTTTTCTTTTTCCTGGTAACCCGAATAAAGCCTTCCTCATTAAAACTGGAATTCAAACCGGCCAACAGATCCTCAAAGTTGTCATTATTAGGGTGCTTACTTGTATTAATTACCTTGGCCACTTTTTTGGATAAAGTTGATTGTCCCTCCTCCCATTTTTGAATGTTTTCTAGGAAACATAAATCTCCATCTGAAGAATAACCCTTGGCACAAAGGGCTGGATCATATGATTCTCTCTGAATGAGTTTTTGCAGGTTATAGTCATCCATTGCTCTCTTGTCTTCAGGTATGAGCTTTATCTGAAGATTATTAAATATATCAAGATCCCTTTTAACCGATTGTAAATCCTCCTGTATTGCAGGGATAGCTTGAGGAGCCTGCTCCGTGAAAACCTCTTCAATGTCAGAATCAGATTCCTCCTTCCTAACATCCTTCGAGGTGGAAGCAGTGCATATTCCATTCACCTTTTCTTTGCCTTTATCAGTAATATATTGAGTAGCTGGTTTCCCATTTGTAATAAGCTGGACCGTGTTTTGCAATACAGGATTGTTCATTCGATGTTTAGGAACCCATTTATCCACCATAACACCTTTGGTCCCAGTGACCTTTTCTGGGACTTTAGGAACATCTGATGCCTTAGGGTCCTTCGGGATGCAACTGATAATAGTTGGAGCATAAAAATCATATTGGAGCGACTAGAAAACTCAAATGTCAATGTCTTGGGCTTAGATTTTTTCATACAATTGTTTGTATCAAAGAACAAAGAGCCTTAAAGGCGATTGCAATTTGGTGAATTAACAAAGAGTTCACACTTTGTGCTTTAACCTAAGTGTTCTTAATTTTTCTGTATGTGATGGAACAAATACTCAAACATATAAAAGCTGAGTAACATGTTAAGACAAACATATCAATAAGAATAAACTACACACACTTGGCATATGCTCCAAAATTGTAAATATCATTCCAAAATTTGTGAAGGAATTGAAGCATATGCTCCACTTTTACATATACAAGTAGAGAGCTTAGAAACAGAACATTTACAAAATATGATTTAATCAACTCGGTTCATACGTGAAGATCAGGTGTGTCTTCAAGAATGAGATGCATTTTAGGAGTGAATTTAGTTTTTGTATGATAGTAGTGGCTTAAATGGGTCTATTTCATGTATTTTTGTATGTGCTATTATAGTAGGTAGTCACAACTTTTTGGTATGTGTCATACCTACCATGGTATAATAGAAGGACATTTTTTTTTTTTTTTGCTAATTTGAGTTTGCACCCTATTTTATTGTGCAAATTGGACTTTGCATCCCGTTTTTAAAAAAACTTTGTTTTTGCACCTCAATCCTATATGAAAAGACAAAATTGCCCCACCATTAACAAATTTGTTGGCCTTCGACATATTCCTGATCGAGAGAATTTTTGTCTTTTCATATGGGGTTGGGGTGCAAAAACAAAGAGTTTTAAAAATGGGATGCAAAGTCCAATTTGAATGATAAAATGGGATGCAAACTAAAATTACCTCTTTTTTGAAAGTTTTGTAAATCCATATTTTCTGGATAGGTTAATGAGTTATTGACTACATAAAGAAGTCACTTATATTTTAATTTAGGGGAAAATAATTAAATACCCCAAACTTTGAAGAGGTTTGAGGTAAACACTCCAAACTTTCATGTGTAATTTAAATTTCTCAAACTTTATATAAAAAGTTATTTAAGCACCATGATCATGTATTATTTCTTTCAAAAAATATAAACTTATGGTGTTAATTGCATAATTTCAAATAGAAAATTAAAAGTATTGTAATTATATAAATTAGGGGTAATATTATTTATTTCACAACGAAACTTAAGAATGTTAATTGTGTCTTCATGAATGCTAAAATATTTTAAATTATGCAATTAACACCATAAATTTACATTTTTAGAAGAAATAATACTTGACTATGGTGCTAAAATAATTCTTTTATTTAAAGTTTTGTGTAATTAAATTACATATGCAAGTTATGAAAAAAAAAATACATATGCAAGTTTGGGGTGTTTATCTCACACCTCTTCAAAGTTTGAGATGTTTTAATTATTTTGAATGTTAGCATTCTAATTCACGCAAACACATTAAGTACCTTAGAATAGTAAACATTTGTCATGTTTAGGAAAAAGATTTCATTTGTTATTCAAATGATTTCATTTGTTATTATGAAATTAAACATATGTTATACAATGACTTCAGTATATTTACAAATGAAAATTTATGAGAAAGTGGATTATACACTCTAATTGTGATGAAATGTGGTTGGTCCAATTTTTTAAAATATTTCCCTAAGCTTCTCAAAGTATAAAAATAGGGTAAAATGTCATTACTCCCCCGCTCTGTAATAAATTTCTTGTTGTAATTTCTAATGTGCCCGAAAATTGAATGCTTAATTTCTTTTAAAAAGAAAAATCGATTCTTACCATATTACGCTGCTTTGAAGTCCTTATATTATGGGAGCTGCCCACGATGAAGATGTTGCTCCCACACCTAAAACACGCAGTGAACAGTAATATATGTAAATAATATTTTTTTGTCCCGTAACTTGCATGTAAAGAAATTTAACTGCAGACAAGTCAAAATGTAACTTGTTTAATACTATGTATATAAATAGTGAATATGTTTTTTATATCATGACAATAAAAAATGAATTTAAAATGATTTATAAAAAATGATTTATAAAAATGATTTTTAAAAATGAATAAAAAATGATTTTCATATCTTTTTTTCATTTCAATAATAGGGGTTTATTGTATGATGTAACTCGCATTGTGCCAAATAAAATTCACGCTAATTTAAAATATAACTTACATGTGTGCAAAATGTAACTTGTTGTGACAAGTTCAAATGTAACTTGCGCATAAAAAATGTAACTCGTGCATGAGAAGATGCAATTCTTTTTTTAGGGAGAGAAGATGTAATTCATACATAAGAAGTTGTAACTAATGCATAAGAAGATGTAACTCGCGCATAAGAAAATGTAACTCACACACAAAAAGATGTAACTCGCGCATAAGAAAATGTAACTCACACACAAAAAGATGTAACTCGCGCATGCATAAGAAAATGTAACTCACGCACAAAAAGATGTAACTTGCGCATGCATAAGAAGATGTAACTTCATTATATACTATCAAATGTAACTCCAGAGATTGTCTATACACGTAACGTCCAAATGTAATTAGTTAATTACATTTGGACATGTTCTGGAAAATCCAAATGTGACTTTTGCATCTGAAAATGTAACTTGCACACAAGAAGATGTTACTCGCGTAGAAGATGTAAATTGCACATAATAAGATGTAACTCGCGCATAACAAATTGTAATTTCATATATTATCAAATTTACTTCAAGAATCTATATATATATATATATAAAAGCACAATCGTGAAACAAGCATGGCAAATCTGACCATTGAAATTTTACACGTGTCCCAAGATGGTTAAACGTATGATTACATGTGTCCCAAGGTGGTTAAATGCCCGACCCATTATCTTAGCCATTCCAATATACAACACGTGGCAAATCCTCAATTGTCTTCCAGTCCTGTGGTGGGACAGTTAAAACACGAATACACGTCCTGAACATGGCACGACTAGGGCAGTTCAACACCATCGCAGCATTATATAAATTCTGCAACACAACGCAGTTCAATCTGTCAAAATTCAGCAGAACACAGAGGAGTACATTTCTGATCTTTTTTAAGTTTTCTTAACATTATTATTATACGAATAGCTAATATAATTCCACTGCAATTGCATAGGGCTGAAGACAAGGTTCAAGATGCTGTACAACAGAATTCAGGAGCTTCACACCTCAAAGACAAACTGGGCATTGAGGGTCTGATTGGTCCGTTCATATGCTGTTCCAGTTTTCACTACCTAAAACGTGATCAACACACTGGAATGTGTGTTTCACGATCAAGAGGTAATTCTTAAGGTCATTATTGTCCAGACTTTGTTTTAAACTTTCAGTTTATAACACACACAATTTTCTACACATAAGCTTAAAATTTTCAGTTTACGAGGCTCTTACACTTTCATATACACATAGTTCTGATACTCACAATTTTCAACCTAGAAGCTTAAAATTTTTAATTCACGAGACTCACACACCTTAATTTATACAGGGAGACAGAATTCATGCCACAATTCGTCAAGAAAGGATTGAAGCATTCAGAGAATGGATGAAGGAAGACAATGTTTGCAGTTTAAGGAATTTCATTGTCACTCCCAATTCCATATTTCCATGACTTACAAGACAACAACTTACGCATTCAATATCATTTTAACCATAAGACAACAATGGTTGACAGTGACGCTCAGTTTCCAAGGATGTTCAATTTCAAACCATTTTTACTGCTACAAAATGCTAATCAAGTTAACGTCAAGGAGCTGTTTGGTATAGTATTTACATATAAATTAATTTTACTTTAAATACGGTAAATTAAAATTCCGTTTATATCCAAACTAACAATTAGCCAAACAGATATCATAGGAAGCGTGAGGTCTGTCCAATTTCCTATTATTTTTTTTTTCAAACAATAGGAAATAAACTGATTAAACACATAGAAGTGTACTCTAGATTAGGCCTCTTATTCTTTGAAAATGAGCAATTACATACATATTTTGAAAATACTTAAAAGATATCCGCCAAATGTATAACACTACCTATATATTTTGTATTAGATTTTTATATATTATGTATACCCAGATATTTATTATATACTTTACACATATATAGGAAAGTATGTTTGTTAAATTTAGAAAATGTGACAAAATATTTCAGATTTTAATAAAACCAGGCGGGTGCGTATTACCATTCAACTATATTAAATTACGAAAATTTTAAAATGATTTGTAAGGTTCAAGTGAATCATTACATTTGTTTTAAGGCATGAAGGTTTCAAATAAATAAAAATGTGAAGATTAAAGTGTTATTTTTGACAGAACAGTTTATTTTCTAAAAATGTGAATGAAGTAAAGTAGTGATTTCAACCTTTTAAAATTATAATCGAAGCTTCAAGTAAAGGGATCTTTCTTCCTTGATGTGCTTTTATTTCCACTTACTCTTGGCAAACCTGAAATGGTAGAAGGACCAATTATTAGAAATCCAAGTATTTATTATTGATATATTTAAAAGGCCTATTTAAAAAGGTAGTATAATTTCAGGTTGGTTGGTTATTCTTACAGAAAGAGCAATTACAACTTCATTCTCAAAACCCGCAAATGTACTTTCAGAACTGGAGCAATTTCGTAACAAAGAAATTGAAACAAATCTAAGTAAAAATGATGTTAATACACATGATGAACAGAGAAACATGTGATGTCTGAGGTATTAAGACAAAAAAGTTTGATGAAAACTAATCTCAAAATCATCGGTTATATACTTTTGTTAATATACACGATTAATATGTAATAACACCTAAATAAATTTGAAGGACCTTCAGATTTGAAAATATTAACGGAAAAAAGTTTGGAAAAACTTATCTCATTCCAGGCGGTTCACGTACCGAGCCTCTTTTCGATGTACGAGCTGCATAGATACACATAAATGAATCAGTTCATAAGGATTTATTATCAAAACTATATCTATAACAATAGAATAAATTAACAGATCAGGATGGAAAATAAACCAAACCAAGAAGAGTATATTTAGAAAAAAAAACATATCTGACTGAGACAGGAGTGAAGGTTGCTACGGTGTGGCTCATCAGCTCCGACCCGACGTTCCTCCATGAACCGCAAATTGACTGCGAAGAACGGCAAAACTTCTGTCGGAAGGGAAGACGGAAGGTGCGATAGGGTGATAGGGTGTGAGAGAGAAGGCAGCCTGATTTCGAAGAAGGTGCGAGAAGTTTGGGACGATCTCATTCGGACAGGGAGCATATATATACTATATAGGGAGGGTGTAGGGATTTTTCTAATAAGCTGGGCCAAAGTTGTTGGGCCAAAAGTGTTTGGGTTAAGAAGAATCCGTTTCGTAACATTGTGAGTCCGTTTGTTAACGCTAAAATTGATTGAATCGATTGATTCTGTTCAATTTTAAATTTTATGAAGTTCTGACTTAAATGGTTGCATTAGTTGATTCATAAAAAAATAAATTTAAAATATACTACCTCCGTCCCGGTAGACTTTGCCAAGTGCAAATTAGGTAAGAAATAAGAATAGTAAAAACTGTGTGGTTGAAATTTGTGCAGAGGAGAGAAAAATGTGCAGAACCACAAATTAGTTGCTTTAATAAGAAAGTGGCAAAGTGTTTTTAGACAAGTAAAAAAGGAAAGTTGGCAAAGTCCAATGGGATGGAGAGAGTATTATTTTAGTAAAATAAAGAAAAATATGTATATGTAATAATAGCTAGAATACCGGGTTTCATATCCAATGACAATCAACAAAAGTTAAGGACAATCGCTATCTCATGTTGGGTTGTTCCTAAAAAACCCGATATTCAGTCATGGTCAACTCTACATTGCTGTTTCCCGAGTTACCAGACGTGAAGGATTGAAAATATTGATATCCAACCCCGATGGTGCCTCCAGTAACTCAATGATAAATGTTGTATACCCAGAAGTTTTTCAAAACGTGTAGTTTGTTTTATATTATAATGTTCTTAATTCTTTAATTCAACAACTTATTAATATTTCTCTCATATCATTTATTTTTTTAATCTTATTATATTAAATGTGTATGCTTTGATATTTCTATATGTATTTCTCATAAATAAAAAACAACAAAATATTGTCCCGTGCATCGCACGGGTGCGATACTAGTTAAAATAAACAAACTCAATGTCTTAAAACCTCTTCAGACATGTAATTAAAGAAATAAAAATATACTTCGTATATTATAGAAAAAGTGTGTGAATATAAAAAAAAATTATGAAAAAAGTGTATGAGTATAAAAGATAAAGAATTAATTCCACTTTCGGTCCTACGAGTTTTGTGCCAATTTCACCTTTAGTCCACGTCTTTCACTTTGTCCACTTTTGGTACTTAACTAATGTTTTTAATCGTTTGTGGTCCTTTTCCGGCGATTTTAATCATCGGAAATAATGTCGGAAGGATCATATATGGGCGAAAACACAATAGTCATGTATCAAAAGTGGACAAAGTGAAAGATGTGGACTAAATGTGGGATTGACCGAAAACTCGTAGGACCAAAGTGGAGTTTATTCAAAAAATAATTAAAAAAATGTATGAATAAAAGAAATATTACATAAAAAAATAGTGTTTGAATATGAAATGCAATATTTTATTTAGATTAATAAATTTATTGTTATGTATTCATAAAGAATAAAAAATAGATTCATTTATAATTTACGTTAAAGATAAAGAAAAGTAAAATTACAAATAAATTTTTAATATTTTAATTTGATTGAGAAGGAGAAGAGTGGAAGAAAAGAGAAATAAAAAAGAGAAACAAAATAAAAAGAAAAATGATGCTCCAAGAGAAAAAAGACAGTACACCTGCGTAATTGTGGGATCGGTACACATTGTAACGATCTCACTATATAATTTGCCTAAAAAAAGTGACACACATTGTATAATCTACCAACAATCGTGGTGATTATGATATACAAATTGAAATGATCGTAGTCACTAAAAGTTACTAAGTCACTTTATTCACCATGATTATTTAATCACATACTTCGTATTAAGAATTATTTCCAATTTTTTACGAAGCAGCGACCGTTTTCACTCTAGTTAGGGTTTTAGTTTCTCCGCCGATCTTTTACGATCGGGTGGCTCTTCGATTTGAATTTTCCCCTGTGATGAGTTTCTTGGTGTGAAAAAGAAGTAGAGACAGCAATAGCGAGATGATGACATCATCTAGTGAAGGTCATGAGCAAAAAATGAGGTTAAAGGCTGGAACCGATCTGGATTCGAGTTCATTTGTGATTGGTGGGGAAAATGGAGGCTTCACAGAGAACATGATGAATAGAGGTAGGGTGAGGAAGAAGCTACAGTACGGCTGGATCTCCCCCCTCCTCAACCGACACCATGGAGTGCTGGAGAATTTAGGGTTTAATTTGGAAGAAAACAAGCGAACTTTGTTTTAATTCCGTTTTATTTTGTTTGTGTTTTTATTTCGAATGGCATGTTGCTTTGGTTGTGTTTTTATTTCCGGTTGGAGTCCTTTTGATAGGCAGAGTTTCGATTCCGATCATTTTAGACTTAAATTTGCCCGTTTCAGGCTTAGCGAGTCAGAGTGTTTTGTATTAGATGACCGACTCTAAGTCTACTCTTAGGGTTCACGATTGGATCTGTAACATCTGTTTGAAGATTGTCTTGTATGTGTTCTCATTTTTAATATAAAATCCGGAGTTTTTTTCCGTATTAATGCTAATTAATTAAATAATTACGAAAATAGGGTTGGGTTAAAAGTATTTACGGATATACTGCTGGGCTTAACCCTGGTCGGGGTAAGTCGCCAACCCATTTGGCGACTTATAAGTCGCCCAACCGGATGGCGACTTATAAGTCAGCAAACGATTTGGCGACTTACCCCCTGCCATATTAAATCCATATTTATTCTATTTCAGAACATCCGAAACCTGATTGGCTGGTTTCAGCTGTTCTGAAATGGAAAAAACTAGTATCTTTACCCGTGCCGTGAATGAGATAAGATGGTTTTGTTGTTTAGTTTTAGTAAGGGAAAATCACTTATTTAATCAATTATAACATTTTTTTAAAATGCATATTCTAACTTATTAAGTATATCTTATTTTTGAACTAATTCCAAACATACCTTTTGGAAAGTTTTTTGTGCCTACCATTCATTTACCTTTTTTCTTACTCAACCACAACCATGCATTTCCACTTTATTCCCACTTTCTTAAACTCTGATCCAAGTCAATGCGGGAACAATTTTATGGGACGGAAGGAGTATTATACTCCCTCCATCCCGCTAGAAGATTCCCGTTTCGGTTTACGATGCTTGATTGATGATAAATCAACTTAACCCCTGTTCACGCTCTGATTATTTTTAGTAAATAAAATTTACATATTCAGAAACTACATTAAAACCGCTATAAAACCTGATAAAAAATATAAATTTGATAAAAATTTGATGTATAAAGAAAGAGATTAAAAATGATTTAAGTTGACCATATGAATAGTGGACGAGAACTTTCTAATGGGATGGGGGGAGTATTAAAATTATATCCATAAGCAAAACAATTATCATGTACCTTTTATATACAGTCTAGCTTATTTATCTAAATCTTAAACACCAATTTTAGTGTCACGATATCATATGTAATTAATAAAACTTTCCGAGAGCTGAAACTCTCGACCAACATATATTAAGATTATATTAATATATACCGGGAGGAAATAATATAAAGACCCCGAGCTTTTGAGGGATGTGGGGTAAACACCCCAACTTTATGTAAAGAGTTATTTTAGCATCATAATCATATTTTTTTCTTTTTATTTTTTATTTTAACGAAATCATAGGTTTTTTCTTTCACAAATGTAATTTTATAAAATTACACTATAATTATAGTTTTGTGTAAATTACTTAAATATTATACTACCTCCGTCCCATTTAGATTGTCCCATTTTTCTTTTCGGAAAATCCACCATGATTGTTCATACCAAATTTCATAAAGTTTGTATGGCTCCAAATTATTTTTATTTTATTCTTACTTTATCAATTCAATATCAATCACGTAAAATCATTATTCTTAATAATCTTGTCATTCCCTCATGTCCCAATGTTAGTGGGTTGATGGCAGTAATAATTTTTTAGTGTGCAATTAACATTCTAAACATACTTGTTAATGTTTTTTTATTTAAAATATTGAAGCTTAGATAATAATTTCATCTATATAAATGCCAAAAACATTTTAGATTTTATATTTTAAACATATGTTTTTTTTAAGTGTTGTAACATTTTTATTTGTACTCCAACTATCACAAAAAATATCAAATTCATAAGAGTATTTTTTTTAAGTGTTAAATTGTTTTTTATTTTTATATATTCAATATTGGTGTCATTTGAAAGATAATAAAAAAGTTATGAAATTTGATATATTTTTTGTAACAATCAGAGTACGAACAGAAAAGTTATAGTACTTTATTTAAAATAAACATGGGATTTAATTTTTTGAATAAAAATTTATAGCTATTTAAAAAGTTTTTTAAGTATTGGTTGTTACATAGGATTCTGCTTAGTCATAAATTAAGGCGAGTTCTAATCTAAGTTATATACTATTCTAACGGAAGTATAATTAATTAATATACTCAATTTGAAAAAAAAAATCTACAATATTATAACGAGTGTTTGCTTAGAAGATGACATGTGGCAAAACTTTCCATAGTTGTATCTTTGAAATGTATTATTTATAGATAGATTTCATAGATATGGATTTAATATGGCAGGGGGTAAGTCGCCAAACTGTTTGGCGACTTATAAGTCGCCCAACCGGATGTCGACTTATAAGTCGCCAAACGGTTTGAAGACTTTCCCCGATCATGGTTAAACCTAGCAGTAGATCGGTAAATACTTTTAACCTAGCATTAT